CGAAACCAAAAAGTATGTACAACACTGACAAACAGCAGTCTCATTCAAAAAGCTATGAAGGGCCAGATTTAGTTCAGCACAGAACACAAGCGCTGTTTGCCTGCCCCAACTGCAGTTTATGAGTGCAGCTGCAGGACGGTCTGTGTGTATCTACATATATCAGGCTGGGGCTACAGTCTTCACCAAGTGAGTCATGCTTCTGCTTCATCTCTGCTGGCCTACTGAATGTTTGAATTAGTGACTGAAGAGCTGAAAAAGAATGTTACAGTTCGGTCTTTCACATCTTGCACAATTGCAAAGCCTTTTTAACAAATGGAGAAGACAATAGCTCCTTCCGCTAGCCGTGTTTTGAGTTAAGTGGTGACAGCAATTGCTGACGTGCGCTTTGCATTCCTGTGAAATCTCACCCTTTAAGATTTTTCAGAAATAATTCAAATGTGTGAGTTTGTTACAGTAGTAAGATTTAGGATCTAAATTTATGGGATCTGGCAGCCCTTCAGAGGAGAGTAGCATTTCTTAGCACATACAGAACCTCAAAACTTCAATTTCAGTTGAAAAGTATCACAAGTTATAAAGTGGATTTTCACTGCAGCGTTTAAAATTCAGAATGTTTTCCTTCAACAAACTCCTATTTTATTTAACACAGAAAGTTATTTTTACATGTCCTGAGAGACTAAACTGTTCTCCAAGCAGCTGTATTATTTTCTGTTCTGAATCTGTACTATCAAGTAAAGATAAAATCCTCTTTCCTGTTGAGATACGATGGTCAATTCAGCCATAGCCTGCTACTGCCCACTGTGGTTTGTAATGGCTGATAAACAGATCTATACATTACACAGGATTCTTTTATTTAATATCATCAGAGATCTTTAACAAAACTAGGTTAACACGGTTAAATTATACCACTAATTTACACATGATACATTCACATATAGGCATTTCTTAAGAATCCTTTTTTGTAGCAGTTAATCAAGTCACTGGCACATTTTAGGATATATGGAGCTTTTAAATGGAAGGGAAGTTCATTTTATAGATGGGTTAATTTGATCAAAGTCACACAGGAAATCAATTTCTGAGCTGGAAACAGAACCAGGATCTGGGTGTCCATTCCGCTTTTACATGAGACATGAAGAAAAGAACATTTTGTCTTGAAGCTATCTTCTCCTTTTGAATATAGAAATATTTAAACATTTGAGCCATGTAGGGTGCTCTCTTGCTATTCTGCTGAGCTTGGAAGATCTCTATTTTACAGAAGAGATTAGATTCAAGTCACTGATCAAGATAATCTCAGTAATCTTTGGTGGAGTTTGGAGCTATATCATAATCAAGAACAAAAGTGTACGATCAGCAAATAGCTATGTTGACGTACAAGTCCAGCTCAAATTTTGGAGAAAGTGAAAAAACTGACAGCCTTTCAATACTGCACACAGTTAGCTCACTGGACTATAACTTAATCCCACTCTAAGCACATTTCATATTCTGACCAAAAATAAACTAATTCCCTAAATTTGCCTGCTACTATGTATTTGCCTGGAAAATATAGGAAAACAGCATTTAAGATAGATATTTAACTACCTTCAATAAGCCTGACTATTACAGGTCAAGAGACATACCAGCCTCTGTGTGACAAGTGGTGCTCTCACTCAGAATTCATACAACCTTTACCAGAAAAGCACACTTACTTTTGTTGGCAGTTGCTCATTATCACCCTCCTTCCATTGAAACTAGACTAGATTCTACTATTCTAGGTAACCCTAGGATGCATTTTAGTATGCAGTATCAGATGAAGTAAATAACGGAGTTGTTACTGCCTTAAGAAAATCCTGCATTTTGCTCCTCGATTTTTCTACCCTGGAACTTATTAGCTCATGCACTTCGATTCTCTCCAATAATCAACTCACGAAACCATGCAGCACTTTATAGATCAGAGCCATTACAAAGAAATTAAAACGGAATGTATGCAGACACTTCAGAGTAAGTTTTAAGATCAACAGCCCACTACTAACTAACCAGGCAAATGGATCTACGCTCCCTGGAAATGTCTAAGGCATCTTCAAATCTTGAATCTTTCAGCTGAACAGATTGTGTATTAGCAGCTTGTGTGCTACCACTCCATGGTAAAGCGAAGTTCTACTGTCCTAGCCAATTTTAAGCAGAACAATGTGAAGCCAAGTCACAAAACAATAAATAGGATAGATGAATATAATCCACTGCAAAAGCATTGTTGTCACTCTGATCTTTGGAACTTCATTGTCAGTTACCATTACAATCCAGCTTGCTATGGTTATCACAGGCTGGCATAATGAGATTGGCATAACCATATAAGTTAATCATTTATTTCCATCCACCTCATTTAAAGATCAAACTTCAAAGTTAGTAAGTTTGTCCACTGCCAGTGTTCTGAAGCTGGCATGTTGAAGAAAGCCACAAAGCCAAGAATACAGACACACCCCCTTAGCTTTCCTGACTTTCATGCAATCAGCAGTACTGAACCCCAAGTTGTACAATGCACCATCTAAGCCAAAAACTGTAATTTTGAAAACCACGCAAGGAAGAGGTAAGCAGAACGAAAAAGGTTGTGGAATATGCCAACATAAAAGAAATCTACAAAAACAATTTAAATTATAGTTTTAGAAGGAAACATAGCTTTTATAGGAACTCAGAATAACTCTGAATAAAGTGCACATTGTATGAATCTAGCACTGAAGTGAGATTTTATTGTGTTACTAGTCCTAAGGAGCTCATGTAAATTGTGAGAGATTAAAATGATGGCTGCTTGTTCTAACACCGACATTCCTCAGACCTCCGAGGATAAAAGTTCTTCAACGTGAAGACACCAAATAAGAACATCTGTGGATGTTCTTATTTAACGGACACATCTGGGGCTTGAGGTGAACAAGATCCTGAGGATTCATGCCCAGCGAAACGAAATGTTAAGGAAAGGAAAAATGGGACAGAAATGGAGCAACAGGCTTTGATGCGAAATTCAGGAGTCAGCTGCTCGCTGCTCCCACTGTAAAAAGGTTTGGATTTGTCTGGTTAGCCTGACTGCTGAGGGAGACCAAAGAATCACAAGGGCAGAAGCATATCTTCACAAGACTGGAAAAGCGTATCTGAGAGATCTTCCTGTTAGTGGAGGACTCACTCCAGAAGACCTTCCCCCTTTTTGAAGGTTCAAAAAAACTGTAAGGTAAGTTCGATGTAGACATTCCTATGTAACCTGCAGAATGTCACTAACCATGAGTTATTACTTCAGAGGTTAAGAAAATAGACTGGATTCATAAGAGGAAATTAATCAGTACCACTAGTTTTGTTCAAATATATAAACCTCAGCATTTCTCAAATGAACTGAATCAGCATGTTCCTGGAGGACCTAAAAAGTAGAAAAGCTTTCTTGAAATGCTGAAAATAAAAGGTCATTTCCTACTTGTTAGATTTCATTTCTACTGAATACAACACAGGGGTTCAAAAGTTGCACTACACCACTGTCAGAAAGGACCCTTGTGCAAAGACTGTAAAGAGAGTTAATAAAGCAACAATAAATTCGGTGAACTATAACCAAACACCAGGTATTCTTGTTTACATCTATATAATAAATAAATAAGATAGATTGACAATGATAACTACGAAGTTCAAGATACACTCCAAAGCAATAAAAAGAGATAATCTGACTCTAACAGAAATTCATTTTGCCTGTTTTCTGAAGGATAAGATGGGCAGCCGTCATTAGCACAGCACTAGTGACTATGACATTTTTTGAGACACTGAGTTTGGATTCAGCATCATGCTACAACAACTAACACACCTACTCATCTTCTGGTTTATAGTTGGCTGATTTTTACCCAGTTCCAATTACAGGGGCTAGTATGTATATATTTCCTGAAGTCAAAAGTGTTGCCTGGACCCAACAATGCTTCAGTTCACAGTGAGATGCAATATTTCAATTTTGTCCTTCACAAAAGATGTTAATTTTGGAATTCTAATATTTATATAGAGGCAGGATTTTTTTCTGCCGAGGCTATGTTTACCTCTTTGCAAATTCTATTTTAGAACTTTTACGTAAGTCAAGGTGATAAAAAACTGCATGAAAATGGGGGAATAAAGTGAATAATGAGGCTAAATGGTGTGGTTAAGTAGACATTGTATTTCCCTCCTCATCATTAAGAGTAAACAGTCTGAACACCTTCTCAGTTTCAAGTAGAACCAATTAAAGGGGAAAGGGAGTGGAGAGGAACAAGCTATGTCAAGGAAGACTCATGTCCTGTATTATCCTTGAAAAAAATCTGGGACCTATGGAAAACAACCACATCAGGTAAATTCACCTAACTGCACATCTTTTTCTGATGTAGGAACGTGTTAGATGCATATAGCATTCAATGAATGTGACATAACAAAGAAAATTTGTAGAAACTGCTCCAAATTGAAACTATATATTTAACAGTGAGCACAAGAATATAGAATTTCATCCCAATAATCATAGCTCAGCACTAGACAAGAATCAAACAGATACTTGTCTAAAACAACCTGTAGACATTGAGTAAAGCCTCTGCCCCATATCTATGATGTTGAGCAGAACAGATCTCTTCCAACTTTTAATAAACGAAGTAGAGATTTCTGATTGGTTTGTTTGGTAAATATATTTCCTCCAGTTGCATACTCTCCCACAAGCATAAAGATACAACACAGACAGGAAATGTCAAGAAAGTTTCATAGTCTATTGCTTTCACTCCATAGCTGATTTTTAGTACAACGCAAAAATGGTGAATAAAATGAGTGGATTAGCAGTTCTTTGTTACAATGAGCAATAGAGACCATCATGACCTGGGGGCAGTAAGAGATTCAGCAAGCAGAGTGGTCATGATTGTTTATTTGATTAAACTATAGTAAACTTCTCCTTGAAAAGATCAGTTGAGCTTTAGTCAGCCACATCATTCTGTTAATTGCTTTCAAGATAAGCCAGTACATAAATTCTCTTTGCAAAGATACATTATTTCAGAACAGTTCTCCCACAGACAGAAACATGGCATTTAATGGCACCTGGAAAGTAGAAAGAAATGAAAACTACGAAAAGTTCATGGAGGCCATGGGTAAGTCTTCCTTTTCCAATGCCTTCGATAAGAATAATACCGCTTTGGCTGAACACAAACTGGAGCTGTTTGTGAACCACCTTCTGGCCAGCCTGTTCTTTCGCTGTTTGCTGCTCTGCCCTTGCGGAGCGTACTGCAGTTATTTTCAAAAGAGAAAAGATCCTGGTGGGGTGGGAGGGGAAGTACTGATAATTGTTCTGATTTCAGTTACATGATGTTCACCTTAAGCAACTTCACTAATGCCATCAGAGGAAAGAATCTAAGTCTACATTTGAGGAAAAGGCTCCGAGAATTTGAATGATAAACTTGAAGAAGAATTCTGTAGCAGGAATATGGTTCTGATAACATGAAACTAGTTTAAAAATTACACAAGGAGGAAATCATAATTCTTCGATTTTATGGAAAGACGCGATTCAAGTCATTTTAACATCCTGACAATTTTAGTGTGCACAAAATGTGCATTATATGGATATAAATGTAACCATTCCTGTTGGAGAGTGGTTTGTACCATATCTGTACTGATGGATACGGCCTCAATAAAAAGTAAATGAGAATAAAAAATCGCATCAGAATGCTAGAATAAACTCACTTGAGCACATAAAAGTCACTAAAAAGGGACAAATATGATACTTTGTCTTATTATTGATGTTCATTGTTTTTTCTAGGTGTTAACATGGTGAAAAGAAAGTTAGGAGCCCATGACAACCTGAAGATCACTATTCAACAAGATGGAAACAAGTTTACTGTCAAAGAATCAAGCAACTTCCGTAACATAGATATTGAATTCACTCTGGGAGTCAGTTTTGAGTACAGCCTGGCAGATGGGACTGAGCTTACTGTAAGAAACTTTATAATTATATATTTAGTATATGAGAATAACTTTATGAATCAGTTTCAAGATGAATGTTTTGCCTTCCTGGTTTTTAATTTAAATCTTACTGATGAAGTGTGACTGTTTAGAAATGCCTGAAGCTTTTATGCAAAACTACAAGGTCGTCTTAGGTGTTAATAGTTCAACACTGTACCGTGAAACGTGAAGTGCCACAGGGAGCCCAGAAAAGCAGAGCAAGTAACAAGTTTCACATCGTGAGACCCAAGTGATCGCAATTTTACTAATTACGATACTCAAGTACACCACCTACAGTGCAAAGTGGGTATTTATAAGAAATTTGTTAACTATTAAAATAAGGTGTATGGAGTACTAAAAAAATCTAGCTTGAATATTATGCAATTCGATAAACTAATGATTTTATAAACATTTAATTTCTACAACCTTTCCATCAATGTCCAAAAAAAAAAGCCTTACTGCACTGTTTTAATCTCTTCTCACATGTAAACATTTCTGAAGTGTTTAAATCAAACCACTGTGATAGCTATTGCAAAATATTAAGAAGTTTTTTTTCCCCCAACACAGGGTTCTTGGAATATGGAAGGAAATAAACTTGTGGGAAAATTTACTAGAAAAGATAATGGAAAAGTACTCACAACATACAGAGAAATTGTAGGTGAAGAACTTGTTCAGGTGAGTGAAACGGTCACTTACATACAACTTTACAATATAATGAAAACATTTTAAGAGCTGTTCTGGAAATAGGAAATATTTTCTTCAAGCCAAATAACCTCATTTACCTTTAGTTTAAATCCTCAAGTCAAGTAATCTATCGGAATTTAAAATAAAGCTCACAATCTGCGATTTTTACCTTGTTTGTTCAACCCATGTGAACTGCGAACACACACTGTATAAAGAAGATATATATGTGTTTCTATATATACACACACACTGTACAGATGTGTTCTAGTTGAAGGCCCTTTTCTAAGTATGTGCCTTGCAAGAGCCCTACCACAGGAGCGCACTACAGGGTAATGCACTCAATGGCTGATAAATGCCCTTTTAAAACAATATTTGGGGTTGGGGTAGGGGAAAACGGCACAGAGTGGTAAGTTCGAAACAAAAGGGAAATATTACACTCTCTGCAGTAAAGCCTGAAACGGAACGGAACTGTAATGCGTTAAGATCCTCTCTGCTAGCAGGTCACAAGCTTCTTAAAAGAATAAATTAAAAAAAAAACAAACAACAACCTTACAGACAGGTGTGAGATTTGAGATATAAAAAAAAATATACAGTCCAATTCTGCCAGGCTTCTTCATGTTGGGAATGTGGCACAAGACTTGGGGTTTTTTTCTGAAGCCCTCAATAGCTGTCCCATGGTGGTTCAAATGTTTGCACAGAGAATTTATGCCTGTTTTACTTTCTTTACGTACCTTTCCTCAGAGCCTGCACAAGGGCTGCTACACCCCACACCATAACCAGTCATAATTAATTAAATCACTATTGACCATGTCTCAACAGCATCTGTGAATTGAAACTTTGTAACAGCAGCCACTGATTTTTCTTCTTAATTTCTTAACAGACCTACATATATGAAGGAGTTGAATCCAAGAGAATCTTCAAAAGGGGCTAAGTGCTTCACCGAGAACAGCACCAGAACCAAAAAAACAACAAAAAAGACCATTTTTCTACATACTCTCCACTTTTTTTTTATCTTTTGTCCCCTCACAGCACCTCCTAAGCTGCAATTACTTAGCCCAGTTGAAAACACAGGCTAGTCCTTCTCTTTACTGTTTTGCCTTCAATAAACATCCAATTACAATTTAACACAAATGCTAAAATGTTATTTGTACCATGTCCTACCTGAGTGCCATACTATAAAGGGCTGCAGAAATGATATTCTATAAGCAGAAATTAAATATTTTTTGCACTGGTTCTCAAATGGCAACTTAGTTTCCTTAATGTAGTATTTATATTTATAAATAGTTTCTCTGTGTATTAAATATTGTGTAATCGGGGTGGCAAAGCCTAAAAGAAATCTGACAAAACCTGTCTAAGACTATTCCATGTAAATATAAATATAGAATCAGCATAAAATATGGTGTATTAATACAGCTCACTTGTAGCACTTAATATCCCGTTGATTCCTTGCTCATAACAAAACAAATACTATAAAGCACGTACCAATGATGGCCCACGTGTTGCCTGATCTAGTTGAGAGGTGGCGTCCCCGGCGGCAGGGAGGCTGGATTAAGATGATCTCCAAGGTCCCTTCCAGCCTAGGCCATTCTATGATTCTATGATGATTCTATGACATACACGTATCTCAGAGCAATTTCAGTGTATTTGTTTCTAAAAGTGTGGCAATGCTTTCAAACATGTAGATTTATCAGGGGTTCAAATCATTTTGCATGAGGAAGAGTATTAGCAAGCTCTGAGTGAGTTTCTTCGAGGACACATATAAAAACACTGAAGGTATCCTAACAAGAAGAATGATTTCAGGCTATGTTGACTTTCAAACACTGGTGTGATAAACACGCACCATGTTCTGCTCACGTTGCCCAGTGTGCAAGTGGGGGTGTTGATAGACAGCTGGCTGAAAACGAGCCAGCAGTGCTGGCCAAGAAGGCCAATGGCATTCTGGCTCGTATTAGGAACAGTGTGGCCAGTAGGACCAGGGAAGCGACTGTGCCCCTGTGCTCGGCACTGGTGAGGCCACTCCTCGAGTGCTGTGGCAGTTCTGGGCTCCACAGTACAGGAAGGACATCGGGGTGCTGGAGAAGGTGCAGAGAAGGGCAACCAGAATGATCAGGGGACCAGAGGGTAAATCTTATGAAGAGAGGCTTAGGGAGCTGGGGCTGTTCAGCCCGGAGAAGTGGAGGCTGAGGCGAGACCTTATTGCTCTCTACCTTGGAGAGTCCAACGCTTAAAAGGAAACGCTAGATGGCGACAAAGGACTGTAAAAGATGTGAAGCAGGGACTGTAAAATACGTGCAGTAGTTCTTAGAAGACGGCGTAGTTATGAAGGAAGGAAACGCTAGATGGCGACAAAAGACTGTAAAATAAATTACGTACAGTAGTTCTTAGAAGGCGGCGTAGTCATGAAAATTATTTCGAGGTAATATAATTAATGGGTAGCTAAAGAATAGCTATAAACCCTGCAAGATTGTCCCCAAAGCTGCTTCAGCGCGTTGCTAATACAGAATATCTGCTGCTATTATTGCTTTTTTTCAACACAAAGTTCCATCTCATAGGGATGTGCTTAGAGATAGTTATTTTTCTGGGTAAGCCCTGCTAGGCTGTTATGTTTCCAACATCAACCATTTGTAAAGACAAACCCAAACAAAGTTTTGGACATCTGTGGTTATATTTGGAATAAGCATATATTGAGAAAATTTTACTTCAGAAAAGACATAAACACGTTTCCACTGGTGCTTTACAGGAATAAAGTACTTCTGAGCTGGAATGGAGACTGTAAAAGGTGTATAATGGGGAAGAGATTTTTTTTCTTTTGATGATGTGATTTCTTTCTACTATTTGTACAAGGAAAACTAGCATGAGATGTTAAACTCTGCTCAGACACACCTACTCTGCGTTCTTCACCGACTGTTGCCTTTACTCTTAACATGAGGCTAGAAAGGGTTAATAGCTACAAAAAAGAAGTACTTTTTTTTGTGTACTTGTAACTTTCTAGTCAGTCTTCTAAACACAATAGAAACAATTGCTCTGCTTTCAATAGTGGCTGGACTGAGGGCAGGACATCCCAGCTCTGAGTATGGCATCAAGTTGAGCATCTTATTTCCTTGCACAGTTGTGTATATAAAGCACACAGTATGCAGTAACTTTTCTATATTTGTTCAGGTTTTACAAACTCCAACCATCCCTCAAGGATGTATATCTCAAAAAAATTTGCATTTTCACAAACTTCCTCAGAGCAGGATTCCCAGCAAGGTATTTTAGTTTCTTCAGGGCATCATCGACTCTCCAAGATCAGGAGGAACTTGTGACTGTTTATTTCTACACAGATCCCAAGACAACTTTACAGAACAACACAGTTTGACAGGGCTGACCACTTGCTTTTCCCAACACCCTCGTCTCACCTGGCCCAGCGCCCTGAGGACTGACAGGGAGCTGCAACCAGTAGGGCCACAGAACCGCCATTCTGGAGAGAGTCTCCACAAGGATCGCTCCCCTCAACACCAGCAAGAGAAGCGGGAGCTCCCTCCATTGCCGATGGGATGGCGTTGAGCCATGGGCTGGACTTGATGATCTCAGAGGTCT